CTTGAAACAGATGAGGGAGAAAACTGTTTAAAAGGGATATGTGATTAGGTATTTTTGTCATGACAGGAGTCCAGAGCAAAGGCTACATGGTGGAGTGGACCTGGGGGAGGGTTTTTAAAACAATGAAAAAATTTTTCTTTTACTTTTCCAAGAGGGTAGTGTACTACTAGGAGGGAGGGCTGGGAGGGGAGAAAAGTGCAAAAATGAATGAATGGAAACCCAAAGTCTCTGTAAAGTATAATTAAAAAAATAAAACAAAACAAAACAAAACAAAACAAATGACAAACAGGAAAATCTGATCATTGTTTCATTCGTCCTAGTACTAGCTCTGGCTGGAAGAGGCCAGGCATAGCCAAGAGGGGGCAAAGAATATCAACCAATCTCAATCCCCTTGAGCACGGGACCCTTGTATTCTGAAGACACGGAAGTCCCATTGCTAATCGCTGACACGTCAGAGGGAAGGAGCCAGTCAGAGTGAAGTAGAAAGCATATGAAGGGACTAAATCAGAGTGGGTCAGGATGGGCCTTACAGTTTCATCCAGAGGAGGGCAGTTGGCAGGTCACCTGCAGTCTATGAGTGAGTCGTGAACTCTCAGTGCACCACACCATGAGAGCTCCTCACAGGAAAGGGTAATAAACAGGAATTGTATCACAAACTAAGATGGGCCTGGGCCGTGTGATCATAATACGAGTGCCTAGAACTTGTTCACATTTGCCCTTATCCATAACCTACCTTCTTGTCCCTGGACCTTAGTAGACTGGCCCGCAGACTTCCTCGCTTACACAACAGCTTGGACAGCAGAGGACCGTTGACCTCTGCTCCTCCCATGAGGCCATAGAGAACCCATCGGCCATCTTGAGCCAAACAGTGGAGGTTCTTCTCCCAGTAAGAGCCGCCAATGCAGTCCAGGATCACATTGACTCCCACGCCTTAAAGAAGGAAGCATCAGTAAGAGGCAGAAATGGTTTTGTTATCATGGTGAGGCTAAAATTTTAAACTCTTCATCCCTGGATCTAGATTTGTCAGCTCTCCCATGCTTCAGGAGAATAATACAAGGGCAGTGGGAAGCAAAGGCACTCCCAGAGAGATTGGGTACACTTAGGGGTCCCAGAGAATCAGGGAAGAAATGCTCCGGCTTCTAGAAAACCTTCAGCTTCAGGACATGTATAACACAGTGGCTGAATGCAGACTGACCAGGTCTTGAGTACTTCCTCTGGAAAGAATGTAATTTTTCTATTCTGAGAGATTGGAATGCTTCTCCTTTTCTTGGGATATAATTGATAATAATTCTTGTCTGCTCTATCCTTCCTCTCCCGGTTTCCATCTCTTTTTGTCTGGGGCAGCCAAGTAGCTTAGAATCATACATAATACGTGACTACAGTTATGCTACTAACCTTACAACTGGCGTATTTTTTCCTACCTCTCTCCCTTGGTTCATAATTTCGAATTAATTTTTCTTTCAACCTGGGTAGTTATACCATCTCTAGGATTTTTGAAAGGTACAGCAGAAAGGATTTGGAAGGAGAAAGAGGAGAGAATTAGAAATAACAAGGAGATAGAGCATGTGATGAGCCCTTTAATGAGCTCCACCTTCTGCATTTATACCTTAGACTGTGGGCTGAATTTATAATCTCATTTCTAAGAAATGGAATATGGTGGAAGTAATGGAATGCTACTTCCAAGATTAAATAAAAAAAAATCACTCTTTCTTAGTTATTGAGTGATAACCAACTCATAGCTGAACCTCTAGATTTTTGGGAGGCTCCAGATAGCAGATTCCCCCCCATATTTCTACCTCAGAGCCACTGGTGGAGTCAAACAGTCAGAGAGGCCCTGCTTTGGGTTAAGCAGCACAACTGCATACAGACTGCACCACCAGAGCTTTCAAAAAGCCAGTGGCCTGTCCTATCTTAGGTGCCTTCCCTTCCTATTGTTGGCTTGCTTTGAGAGAAGCCAGGGGCCATGTTGCAAACCACCCTATGAAGAGGTTCACATGACAGGAAGCTGATGCCTGCGGCCCTGAACCAGGCGAGGGTCTGACGCCTGCTGGCAACCAAAAGGGTGAGCTCTGAAGCAGCTTCTCCTCCAGCTGAGCCTTCGGGTGACTGCAGCCTTGCCTGATGCCATAATTGCTGTGGGTGAGAGACCTTGAACTGGAAGGCCTAGTTATGCTCTTCCTGACCTACAGAAATTGTGAGAGAATAAATATTTGTTGTTTCAAGCAAAGCCATGTTATGCAACAATAGAGAACTAATAAAGAGGAAGGAGACGGGAAAGTTTATGATAGAGGAGGAAACAGAATGAAAGCCGATGAGTTGAAGCTGAACAGAAAGGATTGGCTTGAACTCTCCTTCCAACACATGCCTAAAATTCACTGCTGTCGAGATGGTTCGGACTCATAGTGACCCTCCACCTGCTTTCTGAAACTGTAAATCTTCACCGGGAGACACAGCCCATCTTTCTTCCTCAAAGAGGCTGGTGGACTCTGACAGCCCACCTTTCAGTTAGTAGCCCAGCACTTTACACACTGTGTCACTTGGGCTTCCTTCAAACCCGTAGACCCACATAGACACATCCATACGTACCCTCGGTGGCTTTCAGGGCCCCCTCAGAGAAGTCTTCTGTCTTATAGTCAAACCCAGCTGCAGCACCCAGCTTCTGGGCCCTTTGAATGTTCTCCTTGGAGCTCGTGGTCACCAGCGGGATGGCTTTGAACAGCCTGGTCAGCTGAATGGCAGCCGTGCCCACACCTCCTGTGCCCGCGTGGATGAGCACTGTCTCGCCCTTTTGTACACTTCCTGGGGCAATGATCCAAGTTAGAGGATGCTGGGCAGGTGCAGGTGGAAGGGTGGGCAGGTGTAAGGGTGATTTTGGAAACATAAACTATCATGTTAGGGACCTCTCCAAAGTACTGAAGAGCAATGGTGTCTCTCTGGAGACTAAGGTGCGTCTGATACAGGCCATGGTCTTCGCAATCACTTGTTATGTATGCATCAGAGAGTTGGACAATGACCAAGGAGGATAGAAGAATTGATGCCTTTGAGCTGTGGTGCTGGAGAAGAGTATTGAGAGTACCATGGACTGATAGGGAAACAAACAGATTTATCCTGGAAAGGGTCAAACTGGGTGGCTCCTTGGAGGCAAGGATTCTGAGGCTCCGTCTAACATACTTTGGACATGTTGTGAGGAGATACCGGTCCTTGGAGAAAGACATCATGCTTGGTAGGGTGGAGGGACAGCACAGGAGGGGAAGGCCCTCTATGAAGTGGATTGATTCAGTGACTGGGATAATTGGGATGGGAGTGTCAGAGACAGCGCGATTGGCACAGGACAGAGCAGAGTTTAGGGCTGTTGTACATAGGGTCGCTATGAGTCACACGCGACTCGACGGCACATAACAACAACAACAACAGCACAACAACAAACCATCTCAGGATGAGAGATAATGCTGGAGGTCGGGTTGGGTAGGGCCTGGGTCGCACTGGATGAAGGAGGAACCATTAAAGGTTTTAGAGCAGAGGCAGCCTTGATTAGAGCTGTGCTTCTGCAGGATTAATGTAGCAAATGGATTGAAATGGATAGAGTATCAGCACTGTTCTGAGGGGGGCTCCTGGGGCAGAGGCAGATGCAGGAACAATTATCTGGGTGTTTCTGACCCCTTGTTGCATATGACGAATGCGACTTGGATGTCTCCTTCACTGGCTGTGAGGGAGCCAGGCAGAGGCAAAGGTCAGTTCTCATCAGATAGCGAGGAACTGGAAACTGCTCTGAGAACTCGTTCTGCCTCCCATTAGTCATAAAAGCTCTGTTTGTAGTAGTCTCCACAGGGGATGGGTCTGAGCATCATTGAGTTTATAGTTTGATGTACTAAGTCTCAGTGAGGGGCTCAGAAGTAAGGGTTGGGTCAGTTGGAAGGCTGGGTTGAGTTCTGCATTAGTTTTTGGTGGCAGGTGTGGTAGGAGGGGATTAGGGAGTGGGGTGCATCCTCACCCACACAGTGCAGCAGTTGGAAGGCTGTGAGCCAGGCCTCTGGGATGGCTGCAGCCTGGGGCAGCGACAGCCCTGCCGGGATGGGCATGAGGAGTCCTTCAGGGACAGTGACATACTGAGCCTGGCCCCCACCAGGCAACAGAGCCATTGCTGCATCTCCAGGCTTCCAGTGCCCCTGGCAGCCGGGTCCCAGCTCAGCCACATGTCCAGATGCCTCAAGTCCCAAAATGCTGCTGGCCCCTGGAGGTGGGGCATACTGGCCTTGTCTCTGCAGAAAGGAAAGTAGACACATGGCAGCCTTTCTTGTTGCTGGAGAGAGAAGTTTGCATGAAGGTTAATTTGGGGTTTGTTTGGGGTTTTTTCCCCTGGAATGGGAGAAAATGTACATGGTTTTGCCAAAGGATTACTCAAATAGCTTTCATTCCATAAACACCTATTCCACAGGATCTTTTCAGAGAAAGTTACTCAGCGTAGCCTGTCCAGAACAAACCCATCCAGCTCCCCAGTCAGCCTCTCAGTCAGGCTGTTGATGTCAGAGCTTAAGGCTGTCATATGGTCTGGGAACTAATGGTTTTGTGGGTTGTTAAGTTAGAGCTGCTGAGGGGATACTCCAGCCACCTCAGGTCATATTTCTACTGCCTTGAGCTCAAAGTTTCATTAGAACGGCTAGTGTAGGATCTAAAAAGCCTGAAAACTAGATGTTGTAAGGACAATATGCTGCAAACTGCTCTCTGATCCACTCCTACTGGGGGACGGTGAGATAGGAGGGAAGTGGGCCGGGCTCTGGAGCTCACAGATCTGGCAGGGGAATGAGTTCAGTCCCTGCTCGGTGGTTTCACAGAATTGTTCCTTGACAGACCCCAAGACGTGATTCAGAAGAAGGTCCGAATAAAGGATAAGACCAAGGTTAAGGCCTCTGACACCACACTGGCTTAAAAGCATTTGTTTAATGTGCAGATCAATGCACTCCTTCCCAACAGTGGCTGTCAGGACTTTGGTGCCAAACAAATTTAGGCTCCCGTTCTGCCTCTGTCACATATTCTGCACCACAAGTATTTACTGCAGGTGTACAGTGTGCCAGGGGGAAAAAATTCCTGTTCTGATGGAGGTTATAATCTAGTGGGAGAAGACAAACTTTAAATAAGAAAGCAAATGCATGTAACAATACACAGCGGAGCAAATTCTGAGAATAGTAACAAAAGGTTGTTGCATAGTCAGCAAACTTCCTGAGGAGGTGCAATTTAAGATGAGACATAACAGTGGAGAAGGAGCCAGTAGTGCAAAGAATGGCTGGTGAGCATATCAGGACGAAGGCAAGACAGTGCAAAGGCAGGAGAAAGCATGGAGTGAGTGGGTGGAAAGCAGTGACAGAGAGAGCGTGGCTTCAGCTGAGATGAAGACGTATCAGCGATTACAGCAGCAGGCCTTTGTCAGCTGAGGAGGAAATTTAGATTTTTTCCCAGGTGCAAAAGAACTTTGTAGATCGCCCTGGCTGTTGCGTGCACAATGAACCAGAGGGGTTGCTGCAGGAGTCAGGGTAGGAAGTGAATCTGACTTGAGTTATGGGGAGAAGCAGATGAACTCAGGATTTGTTACAGAGACAGAATCAACGTATGTTCATGAAGTGGTACCAGGGTTGAGGGGGAAAGGGAGGTAGGATGTTGAAAATAAAGCCCAGATTTCTGGACTTGAAGAGGTTACTGGGAATTAATATTTTCATAAAAGAATTCTATCATCAGTGAAATGGAAACAAAAATACCCATCCTGGGTGATTATGAGAATTAAAGAAATTTAAAATTAAAGGATTTGCTTAGTCCAGTGCTAGGCACACAATGGGCACTAAAGAAACTGCAGTTTCTTTGTTGCTGGTTTATATGTAAACTCCCCTGCACAACCTTCAAGGATGGGGTTGTGAAAGGAGAAGTCTGTGGCCCATTTGGGACATGAGTTGTAAACACTGCAAACTCTCCAGAGTCTGACACAGACACTGAGAAGCCAAACCAAACGCCCAGCCTGTTTCGAGCTTCAAGCAGTCACCGTCAGACCTGGAAGAGCGTCAATTCCTCATCAAGCAGCTCTACCTCCTCAGGCAGTTAGGTTCTGGGACCCGACCCCTGCTGCAGTGGGTACCTGAAGCAAGTCGGCCCTGTTCAGGGCGCTGGCCACCACCTTAAGCAGGACTTCGCCCTGTCCTGGTCTCGGTGTGTCCACCTCCTTTAGGTAAAGGTTTCCTGGTCCTCCTGGCTTGTCAAAGTGCACAGCTAACATTTTATCTGAGGACACAAGAGTACAGTGATGGACCAAACAAAAGCTGTGAGAGGTTTGGAAGAAACCTCCTTCCCTGTATCAGGATGCACCACCCATGCCTCTCCTAGACGCCACTGGCCTCCACCAGCTCATCCGCTTACTATCCAACTTACTACCCCTCACCCTACACAACTCCCACTACCTCCCACCCTTACAACTTTCATTGCCTATCTGACATCCCTTTCTAACCTCCCAGCTCCTGAGTCTTCCTTTCTGCCTGAAGAGGAACTAGAGCAGCTTCCCTTAGAATTAAATTTGAATTCAAATTCCACCTTTTGTTCTTTACTAGCTGTTTGACCTTAGGCAAAATAAGTCTAAAACATTACATAATGCACCCTGCAGTCCCTCCCCTCACATAGTAACCCTTTCTTCAAGGATTGAGTCTGCCTCCAGAGCCAAGGGGCATGGAGGGAGGCAGCCATACCTGGAGCCATCCTGCCAGTGGTCTCTTCAGTCGGCGCTGGATGCCTGGCCCTTTGCTTTCCAGCTCAGATACAGCGTGCTGCTGCAAGCCCAGCTTAGGGAGGGACTATTTATGTTCTGGGCCGGATGGATTGGCCTGCTCATTGCCTGTGCTGTGGGTGTATTGTGTTTTTTAATTAAAATTCTAAACAAAGTCTCTCAAGTGATAGAATAATATTATGCAAGTTTGGTCCTCAAGTTAAGCAACCCACCTTCTAAACCAAGGCTGTGCTAACTTATTTTCTCCTGTATCTCCAGTGCAGACTGGGCTGTAGCAGTGTGTGTGTGTGTGTGTGTGTGTGTGTGAGAGAGAGAGAGAGAGAGAAACAGAGAGAGAGAGAGAGAGAGAGAGACACCCTGGATACTTGGTCTCCAGGGGAGGTGGATTTTTCTTTTGCTTCCAACACTGACAGAAATATACTCAGGTTTAGGGAGAAGGTGTGAACATCCTCTGTTCAGTTCTGCCAGTCTGGGGTGGGCAGAAAGGGGGCAGTGCAGCTGATAGGAGGGATGAAGAAGGTGAAGGGACAAGGAGATCAAGTTGCCTAGCTGGCCGTAAAAGCTGTGGAGGTTTGCTATGGATGGGTTCTTCAGGGTCTATGATGGGTCACAATGTAAAGATATGCCTACTTCACCTGAGTCTCAAAACATTGCCAAAGAGGTAGACAGGGCAGGCAGACACAGGGAAGCTGGGATTCAGAGATTCTGTGCTTCAGAACACTAGTATAAGGTGGAGCAGACTCTGGAAGCCAGGACTCCTGAGGTCAGCTCCACAGGAAAGGCAGTCTTCTCACTATTCCCACTTGGAGGGTTCATTTGAAAGGAGAAGAAAGAGGCAACCCAAGAAGGAAAGGGGCCGGTTAAATAGTTTAGCTTAACAACAAGAAGGCAAGAGAGAATCTGAAGGGGTTTCCTTTATGCTGCACATTATTGTCTCTGAATGTACCAATTATCAATGGATCAGCAAATAGGTCCCTGTGTGTGTGTGTGTGTGTGTGTGTGTGTGTGTGTGTGTGTGTGATAATTCCCTTTTACTTAAAACATCCCTTGCTCTAATCCCCTTCCTGTCAAAATACAGATCTAAGGGTGGGGTAGTAACTTTCAAATGAGGATTGCAATGGCTGTATTCACAGTTCTCTACACCTCTGATCCCTAGAGTCTCCTCTAAAGGTTCATTTTCTAATGGGACAAAGTCTTCTGTGTTAGGAAAAGGCCAGACATACATGTCTCCAAAATCTAACTGACCTGAGGCTGCTGTCACTGCTACTGATTCTGATTGTTAAATGAGACTTGGAGACATACTGTCTTCTGGATGTCCAGTGGGCTGCAGCCCCTCCAAAGTGTCCCAAGCAGTTATGCTGAGTCACTTTGAGGCAGCAAGTTCTCTGTTACCAAGTCTGAGCTTGGGCGTGCCAGCAGTTCAATGGTGACTCATGGTTCTGGAACAGAATGCTTGTTGACACCTTTTAATGGAGGAGTTCACCTCTTTGGTACTTAAGGGACTTTCTCTGGGTTCCTCCTCTGTCTCTTCAGGGATATTCCACTGTGAAGCTGGGAGGGCAAACCCTGTGGGGGTTTATGAGGGCTCTGTGAGAGGGGACGGTTTGGAGTTAGCTTGATACTCTTGTCTACACAGCCTGACACTCGTGCTTTCCTGTCTTTTGTGCATGTTTGGCTACCAGCCTCTGCCATCCTCCTGGACCCATCCACTGTGGAGCTGGGATTAAGGCACCATTTCTTACTCCAGGGCAATAGATTTTATACTCTTCTATCTTAGAAAAGCTATATAATATCTCCTCTTATACTTTTAAGTTGCTATCTGAAGGTTTTGATCCTAAATTTAAATAAGAAGGATATGATTTCTGGTTATTCACAGTGACATTGTTTAACCTAACATTAGGCTTTTAAATGTATCAAGTGAATCAAGACTTCTGAGCAATCTGAAAGGTACATACAATTACTAAAAAAGAATACCGAGTGAAGGTTTCCTTTAACATTTAGAAATTTTGTAAATTCATTTTTATGAGAAAACTTCTTCACTGTTATCAAGTCAGAACTGACTCACCCTTGACTTTCCATTGGATTTCAGAGACTGTAATTAGCACTCAGCCTATTAGGTTTATGATTGTCCATCTTTCTCCCAATGATCTGCTGGTGGATTTGGACTGTAGAGACTCTTTGCTTTAGATTTACAGCATAACTCCCTACAAGCTATGCCACCAGAGCTCCTATTCTTCTCCAAGCTGTCATATTTTCATTCAGCTTTTTCATACAATTATTCCTGATATGCATTATGCTTTATTGATCATGCTGCTTGGGGCTTTGGTACATACTTTTCTCAGATGGTCAGTGGGTTCCTCTGGAGGGTTCTGTAGTCATGCACAAGCACCTTGAGACAGCAAGACAAGTCTACATGTAACTTGAAATTGATTTAAAAAAATTATTTTCTGTGACCACAGGGCTCTAAGTGTTCATTTTATTCTGGAGTTAGTTATTGTTATAGTTTTGCTAGCCCACAGTTGATTAGAGCACCATGTATTAGTTTATTTTTAAAGATTTATTTTTGTGCAACATGTATTAATTAAAATATTGATAGATGATTGGTAAACATATAAAGCAAAATATTCTTGAAAAGGCATCTCTTAATGACCTCATGTGGGAGCTGAGTTTGTGTGAATATACTTATTGCTAAACTAGGATTGGATTGAGCATTAATTTTCTTCTTAATTTTCACTTTTACAGACAAGCTCTGAGAAATCTAGTTTGCATAAATTAGATGGAAAAAAAGAAATTTCATTATAGGAATGTCAACTAATTCTTTGAATATGGGTGAGTTACATGATGAAAACTATATAGTGATCTATCATTAAAAATACTTTCAGTGATCTCTATTAGCTGACAACTTAATTAGGTTCTTCTTCAGTTTTGTTGAAAACAAAGACTTGGAAACCACTCAACTGGCAAAAGATATGTTACTCAATCATAAGTGTCATTCAAGTTCTCAATTCTGGAATGATATTATTTTAAAAAGGCTTTGCAATGGCTTATCCAATAATTGTATATCATCTATCTTTTAACTTAGAGGCACCATGTTTGACTTGATAATTTAGAAAAAATTGGGAAAGTAAAAATCTTTATTTAATTCCAACACACTTTCACTAAGACATTATTGTTTTGATAAAGTTCTTTTCACATGCTTTGAATATATTATTAATTTTAGTTGCTGTGTACCGTCGAATCAGATCCGACTGGCACAGGAGGAGATTGCCCAACCTCCTTCTCCAGTGGAGAAAGTGGTGGATTCAAACCACGCATCTTCAGGATTGCAGCACAGCTTCTTGCCACTAGGCCACCAGATCTCCCTGAATATAGTTTTCTTAATATCCTGGAGCTGTTAGGTTTAACATGCTTGACTTATGAAAAGCATCTGTCAAAGATTAGTAGCAAAGTCAGTCTTCATTGTTAAACTAACCCATCAAATCAAGTGAATTTCTATTGAAAAATGTTTCTCATTTTTCAATTCAAATAATCATATTAATACTGGTCTTTGCGACAATTATCCTATATAGATAGGTGAGGCATCAAGCCTTCTTCTCTTACATGAATCATGACAACAAGATTTTCAATATTTCTCAAAGGGGTTCTTTTCATTTTTGTCATAAGACTTACATATGATTCCTTCCTCCTTTGACTTTAAAGTATGGAATAGGTTTTCTTTTCTTTTGGCACCCTGCAGATCTTACACCCTAAGCTAAGCACAGTTAGATTGGGGCTGGAGGGGAGGGTGAATTTTTTTGTGTGTGTACTGAGAGATGGGAAGTTGAGGTTGGAATGTGAGAGAACTGAACAGGCTGACTCTTCTATCCTTAGAGGTCAGTTTTTGGAAAGCACATATGGAAATTGAGAATCTGGGAAAAACAAATCCCTTCAATCTAGTCATGCTTGTGCCACTTGTAAAGTTTTTGTGATCCACTAGGTCATAATTTCTTCCAGTCTGAAGAACTCTGCTTCGCAGGACCACCTCCTCCTTGCACACCTCCCTGGTTATTGTGCAGCTGCCACTGAAGGTCGCTCAGGTGACTCTTTTTGAGTATCTGAACCCAATTAACTCTTTGCAATAAAAAAATATCATATTAAGCAACTGGGCTGTCCTACACGGGAATGTTCAGACACTGAGACATCTGTTTAAAGAACTTTAAGAAGAAAGCCTACTATACACCAAGCAGTGCAGTGGGCATGCATTTAGGGAGAGTTGATTGGTCAGATGATAAACTGCCCAGGAGCTTCAGGATAGTTTCCCCACCCCCTTAAACTTTTTATTGGGCTTTGAGAGAAAGTTCACAGAGAAATTGATTTTCCATTCACTCCATACACATTTCGGCTTTTGATGTTAGTGACAATCTCTGCATTGTAACAGTGCTACTCTTCACACTTTCTTCATATGATTCTAGTTTCCATTCATCTTTTCATTCTTCTGTCCTATCCCTTTCTGCCTTGCA